GATTCCGAACACCAAAAACAGCAGCAAAATTCAAAAGCAACAGGTGTGCAGAGGATTTGCAGCACCTGTTACATGTTTTACAGAATTATATTTCTTCTACACAAAGATATAGAGAGCGATGCAACATAGAATCAGGCCATTCAACCCAACAAGTCCACTTATACTCCAAGCGAGCCCCTCCTATTTCTCTCACCTATACCCATCTATTCCCTGTTCCCTCATGTTTGCATCAAGTTTTCTTTCGCAATACATTGATGCCATTTGCTTCAACCACAGCTTTCAGCAAAGAGTTCCATATTCTCACCACCATCACCATGAAAATGTTCCTCCTAAAGTTCCTATTAGATCTGATAGTGGACCCACCAACAAGTGGAAACAGCCTAAACAAATAAAAATATATGATCGGAAATTTGCAGATATTGGATGGTGCTTTTCTCAGCATTCACAAACGGATTAATTGATGACCAGACTAGCAATCGTCACTGTTAGTGTCATGCTTTAGACACTCCACCAGGGGACAAACGTGAGCAGTGAATGAAATGTCCGTGCTCCACCACTTATTCAGTGATTATCCAGTGGGTGGCATGATGGTTTTATTGCCACACATAGAAATCTTAGACGCACCATTTCAGTAAGCATCCACTTGGTGGCATGGTTATGTTGCAGACATTAGCCAACAGCTTCTGTTACACGTCAGCACTGATATACATATATATATATTGAATAGTTCATATAATATCAAATGCAAGGATTATTATTAATATGATATCATAACAAAAATCAGACCAATTGATCTGAGCTTTAGTCCAGCAAAGGACACATAAGATGAGTTAGCACTAAAGAGATTCCATCAGTTCACCCCTGACTAAGACAATACATTCCGTCCAGCAACATGTCTGTTTATTTAGGTCACTGCTTCTGTTATTACAATAATAATCCTTGCATTTGATACAGCACCTTATCACGTCTTCGAGACGTCTCAAAGCGCTTCACAGAATATACTGTAAAGTAAGTTGACTGTATATTGTGTGGATAAATGTTAAACCTTTTACATGGACGGTAACTTCAGAGCAACAGGATGAGAAATGACGTGCACTTTCCTCTTTCAGTGAATTAAACTCTTATGGTTTAGAGATTACTTCTGGATGAAGCCTATACAGTTTATATCTATAGATGTCATTGTCCCACTGGAGTGTTGAAATGTCAATAACACATGTGCCATTACAATACTTTATTCTCCAATGCAGTTTCATTATAATTGGAAGTGAAGGCTGACATACAAGGTAACTCCAGTCTAAGCCTTTGCTGCAGCAGTTTGTAGTCTAAATCAAAACACTTCCATTTTCTGACAGAGATCAGGAGATTAAAATCTCAGTTGATGAATGTGGTTGACACAAGTGTCAGACTAAGTACCAAACATTCACTCTTCTTAATGGTATTGAGTCCCACCAGGCTATGTGTTTAATATTAATGACTCATATTCACAAATTAGATTAAAATGACAGTCCCATTGGTCTCACCTAAACCAAGGCTGCTGGGAACTGACTGCTAGTAATCCATGGATTTTGCTATTAACACGAAAGCTGAGAAGTCACTTAATGTGTGTGCACTGAATCTCCAGGTTGTGAGCTACAGATAGAGAATACTAAATACCTTCCCACGGAATGGGTTTTATTTTCATAATTAAAGGCTGACCAGATATTTGAGTAAAGTTGTGGTAATCCTCCTAAAGAACCTGAGAAAGTTTGGAACGAGACCTGTTTGGCTCATCGAGTCCGTGTCCTCCACAGATATCTGCCTTTATCGGATAATAAAAAAAAACCTGGCAAAACAGGTTTTGCCTCCCCCTGCTCCTGTGTTCCGATGAAGAAGAAATATCTACAAACAATTCAGCTGAAAATGTATTTTCTATACAGTAAATGAGCACAATGGGGGGGATGTAGAAATTTACAGCACAGAAGAGAGTCATTTGGCTCACCTTGTCTAACACAAGTGGCATTTACAAGCTGGCATTTCCAGTATATTCTGTGAAGCTCCTTGAGACGCCTTGAAGACGTGATAAGGTGCTGTATCAAATGAGCATGTCCACTCTACTACCCATATTAAACATTGCGAGCTGTTAATGCCTGGCTATTTCCACTCGCTGTGGGGCACATATCCTCCAATGTTTTGTGTTCAATCTCACTCACAGGTCCTGAAATCAAGGCAGTTCACAAATATTAACAGTCCCAGGACAGACTATCACTCCCTCCCCCCACCACCCCCAATAAATATTACCCCCACAGTCGCATAGCTTCCCTCATCAAATTCTTTGTCTTGTAATTTTGTACTTTGATCTAAAGATAGATCATATCTTGTCACCGTGCAGAGGGCTAGATGTGTGTGTGTGCATGTAATTTGTGATGTAGCAATAATAATACAACAATAATCCTTGCATTTGATACAGCACCTTATCACGTCTTCAAGACGTCTCAAGGAGCTTCACAGAATATACTGGAAAGTAAATTGACTGTATATTTTGTTGGAGAAATGCGGCAGCCAATTGTGTACAGCAGCGTCCCACAAACAGAGATGGATTGAGTGACCAGATTATTATTATTATGCGATTATTATCTCTGAAAAAGCGATCCGCCAATCAACTAACAACCAGGTTCCTACTTACCGGCAAGATCCTATTCTCAGCTGTGCTGTAGAAGGAATTGATGTACAAGGTGACTGCCTAAAAGGGTGGAGGTGGATACACCTGCCAGCTGCTGGCTCCACTGTACCATTTGTCCAGGCTTGGAAGCAATTCCTATTTCTATTTAATTCTTATTGAACTGCTGTGATATTTCAACCATGGAAAGGTCAGAGCCTTTGAGAGCGCCAAAAATGTTTAAAAAATTAATCTCAATTCAGGTGTGTACTGATTTGTACTTGCATTTGACATGACACCTTATCTCGTCTTGGAGACGTCTCAAAGCGCTTCACAGGATACACTGTAAAGCGAATTGATTGTGTATTTTGTGGGCGAAACGCGGCAGCCAATTGCACACAGCAGCGTCCCACAAAAAAGTCGTGGATTGAGTGACCAAATTTTCAGGTGCGTGTAAATTTATGTTTTATCGTGCTCGTCCTGCTTTCATTGTTTAAAATATTACATTTCTTATTATCTTAAAAAGCAGAAGCCACAAGCCATTCAACTCACATAGACGTCATGTTGAAACCCATCACAAGCATTCGGGGACAAAGCAAGCCGTTTATGTAATTGAGGTGTTCCATAGATTACTGTGAAAAGAAGCTTCAGCTGTAACCAGGGATTATTTATTGAGAGGTTTCAGTGGGTTAATATCTGTGAGTAGATTGTCCCATTAATTCTTTCTGTAGCTGCACTTACTTCAAAGTGCTTGAAAGAAATGTAATATTTTAAATAATGAAAATAGGGCTAGCACGATAAAACTCAGGGCATTACATGCACATGAAAAAGATAATCCTCGCATTTGACACAATGCCTTTCATGTTGAGAGGTTATCTCAAAGCGATTCACAGGATACACTGTAAATATCCTCAGACTGTTTTATAGGCAAACGTGGCAGCCAATTTAAGCAGTACAATGTCCCCCAAACAGCCATGAAGTGAATAACCAATTTTATATGGGCGATTGGTGGTCAAGACACTGGAAGAATAGTGCCATGTGATTTTTAACTGTCTCACTCGAAGGACAGCAACTCCAACAGTGTACTGTCAGTTTAGACAACACTCATTCAAACAGGTTTGAATCCACTACCTGGTCTCAGAGGCGAGATTGCTACCAACTGAAGCAGAGTGACACCTATTCTCACCAGAAATACAGACTTCGAAACCACAGTTTCCCAAAAGAATCATTTACATCTGCTGATGCTGAATAATAATTCGGGGAATAATTATGTCAGAGACGTGATTACAAGGCAATTTCAAATCAATATCATTATAAATTTTGTCCTTGAGGTTTATAGCAGTCACCTGAACTCGAGATAACAGTAAACGTTTTATTTTTATTATTTAAAAGGTTATGTTCATACCTTGACCTCAGAAGTAATAACAGAGAATGAACCATTGAGTACAGTACAATACAATACAGTGGTGGAGAGGGAGGGCTTCAAGCAGATTAATGACAAAAGAGGAAAGTGAACACAAGTTGTATTATCTCACAGTTTTTAGAGCTTCCGTCTATTCTACTCCCATCCATACCCTAGTTTTCACAGTGGATTATTGAAGAAAGTAACTAAGAAGAAGGAAACCAGCAATGTGCCCAATAGGATTAACACACTTAGAAGCATGACTGACAGCTATGGCAGAAAGTGATCGTTGTCTATTCAGCACTCCTCCACCCTCCCATGGCTTTTCTCCATTCCAGCAGCAGCTTTCTCTGCTGGAGAACATTTCTGTGCATTGGTCAAGCAAAGAATTTGTGGAGCAGCTGACAACAACGGGGAGTGAGGTTTATAACAATAATAATCTTTGCATTTGATATAGCACCTTATCATGTCTTCGAGACATCTCAAAACGCTTCACAGAATATACTCTCAAGTGGATTGACTGTATATTTTGTGGTTGAGGGGTGAAGGTCTGCACATAGATAATCTGTACATACCGTGGCTGTTTTAAACCCAGTTGTCCCGTTTATGCAATAAATGCAATATTTATTCAATGGGATTTTTTAAATTTATTTATTTATTAATATTTATTTAAGGTGTGTTTCATCCAACTGTAAAATCCAGCTAAAAATGTCTCAGATCAATATGAAACCAGACATCCCTGACACAACTCCCTAATATCTAAGAAAGTATAGATTGGCATCTAGCTTTATTACATTGCATAATATACCGAAAACCACCTTAAATCACCTGATCCTTTATTTGAGGACAAATAGCACGCAACTTTAACCATCTGGAGATATTTCATTGGCGCGAAGTGAAAAACGTAAATCGTTTCGAAACCTTTCTCTACAATAAAGATTTATTCACGATAAGCTATATAAGCTTTGCTTCCTGAAAAATGAACCCTGCTCTGGGTTGCAGTCAGACTGGAGTTGGTTGAAGCCATGCACATCCACTTATTCCTCCTCCTGGGCCTTTTCCTGACCCTAACCAACAACACTCCTCTCCAACCAGGTGCAAGGAAAACACACAACAAACTGCTGCTCATTTCGGTCGATGGATTTCGCTGGGATTATGACCAACACATTGAGACCCCAAATTTGCAAGCGTTAGTAAAAGAAGGAGTCAAGGCAAAATATATCACACCATCCTTTATTACATTAACATCACCATCCCATTTCACATTACTTACAGGTGAGTCGGCATGAATCTTCTTCTCACTAAACCTGAATCCTGCTTTGTGATTAACTCGATTCCTGGGTATATTGAATTAGTTGACCAAGTGCAGAGTATCAGCATTACGGTGTGTGAGAACATGGTTTCATATTTTTGTCTTAATTGTTTTGTTGACTTTGTTTATACACTATTTAACTAAAAACAACTCCTTCTGCTGTTTTCATTGTATAATACCTGAGCTATTACGTGTTCCTCATGCCTTCCATCCTACCATTGGTGTCCGAACCTTCAGCCCCCATGCCTTGTCTTCTGGAACTCTCTTTGGCTTGTTTCTCGTTCCCTACCTTACAACCCTATCTTAAAAACATATTTCTTCAACCATCCTTTTGTTCAACTACCTTAAATCTCCCTGTTCCCTGCTCAGTGCCCTCTGATAAGAGTTGCAGGTGCTTTGAGATGTGAATGGACTTTCCAACTCTGGAGGAAATCTTGCCCTTTGGACAGCCTCCTGACATGAAAGGTGCTTAAATAAGTGTCAAATTGTATTGTACGCTGTTATTTCAGCAACTTCATGCATAATCTCTCATAAGACAATGATGAATGGCATTTGACACTGGACAACCCAAATGCAGACTCTCCGTAAATCCATTTGACTGATATCCAGCTCCTTGGAGTGCCTTACCTATCCATCTGTTTTAAATTGTAGCAGCATTCTTACAATCCCTTCATCAAGTCCACCAACATTATAAGACAACAGTTATGACAATGCAGCTAACCTTGTGCATTCCAATGCATTAGATCCCATTTAAATTCAACTAAACAGGCAACCACTTATGATCAAAGGCTTTCCCTCTATGTATGAAATTAATCCCATTCACTGCAATGCAATGCGTTATGTGTATTACCCGTTATACAAGATAAAAGCCTGTAATTTATCATTTCTGTCTGGTGTTATTTAAGATCAATTTACTGTCTTCCTCATTCAACAGTGATGTGTCAAATACTGCACGTTGTTTTGACATTTTATATTCTAGGGCAAAAATACACAAGCTCCGTCTTATTGGCATCTGTATTTATAGCTCACGTTTGAAATCTTTCTGCAGAAGAGGCATTTAAAAAGCCGTTTTCTATACCCAGACCTATATTGGTCTTGGCTGGTTTAACTGTTGTGATCTATATTAATACGTCTTAAGTGCAAATTCCACTTTTCTTTTTCCAACCGCCGTGAGCATTTTACGCTAGATCCATTCTTTAGCAAGATTTTGAATGAAGTGTGCTCTTCAGAGCTGTTTATGTCACTTCAGTAGGCTGCTGAGGAGAAATGGCTCCACAAAATTGCCTCAAAATTGCGCATAGCTCTGGGCATCGCAACATAAGGGGATTTAGAGGCAGAGGAGAGCAATGAGAATGGCTCCCAATGTTAGAGGAATGAGTTATGAATAACTATTAGACAAGATGACACTCTCCAGTCCTGAACAAGGGACATCTCAGAGGACACCTTACAGAGTCGTATGGGATTTTAAATGGGATTGAAGGGTTGAACAAACAATATTTTCAATGCATCATGACAGCAGTACAAGAGGGTTGCAAAGGGCAAGATAAACCCAATTATCGTTTTGTTTTCTTTTTGAAGGGAGAGATATAGAGAGCCATGGAGTAATTCACAATATGTGGTTTAATACTACAACCGGAGAGAAAAAACCGTACTACGCCACCCAGGGAGTCAACGAGTGGTGGGACACAGGAAGTCTTCCCATCTGGATCACTGCTCAAAGACAGGTGAGCCTCAGCCAAATACTAAGCCACTGCCAAATACAAACGACCAATCCTAACTGACAGTGACAGGCAATATTTGAATTGTATGTAGCTCACCTTCAAAATCTTACACCTGTTGAAAGGTAACAAACTCTCCAATATTTTCTTTGGATGTACCAAATACTGCGTACGCCTTACCACAGTCCTTCCGATGTGAAAGGCGCTATATAAATGTAATTTGGATTGCATTGTGTACCCCTGCAGTAGAGAATGGACAGGCAATTTTTTCCCAAGGCCTCCACTAATGCTGCTCTGATCAGAGAGTCTCTGTGGGGGCAAATTTCAAGGCCTTCATTTGCCATCTCGTCTTTGTGAGATCAGATGATTAGGGTAATAATAATCCTTGCATTTGATATAATGCCTAATTGCGTCTTCGAGGCATTTCCAAGTGCTTCACAGAATAATAGAGTAAAGTGAATTGACTGTATATTTTGTGGGTGAAGGTTATAAACACTTGATATATACAGAACCTTTCACTTCTGTGATTTACTTTCAAAAAGGGTTTAAAGACAGGATCGATTCACTTCCCCGGAACCAAACCCACCTATGATGGAGAAGAAATCTTCTTGAAGATCGTGGAGCCTCAGTTCTACAATTACAGCAATGAAACCGCATGGAGAGAAAACATTGACACAGTCATGAAGTGGTTCACTGTGGACGATTTGGATTTCGTCACCCTTTATTTCGGTGAACCAGATTCAGCCGGACACAAGCACGGACCAGATTCTGAGAAAGTAAGAAACGCAGTACGTCAAGTAGACAGTGCAATTGGTTATTTGGTGCAAAGCATCGAGAAGCATGGCTTGAAATCCAATCTGAATGTCATCATCACTGCTGACCATGGGATGACCACTGTGCTCAAAGAGCCGGCGGTGAATGAAATTGTCCTGGGACGATTCGCCAATTTCTCATTCAAAGACATTGATTTTGAAATGCTGGATTATGGGCCTTGTGGGATGCTTCTTCCCAAAGAAGGAAAGATTGAGAAAGTGTACCAGGCCCTCAAAGGGGCCCATCCCCACCTGACCGTTTACAAGAAAGAAGATCTTCCCGAGAGATTGCGATACTCGAAACACGAGAGGATTCTACCCATTCTCCTGTTCGGTAATCTCGGATACGTGGTTCATGGGGTGAGTGAATAGACAAATACACCTGGTGTAAAGGTGATTAATTGGGATGGGGTAAAGGTGTTTGGAGAATAAACAGGTTACGACAAGGACTGTGTAAAATAAATCTGATCAAAGAAATCGGTCCAGGCAGCCCGTGCACCTTCCCAGCCAGGAACGAACAGCAACGTTCTGTCTCTACAACAGAAGCTGGTGGGCTCAAAGCAAAAAAGGAAAATTGTTCCCTGTCCAGGGTTTCAGAACTGCTGCTTGACTTTACCTGCCAGCACTGCTTCCAAAGTTAAGGCAGCTGCTGGCAATAGTGCCATAAGCAATCTCAGCATCCGTTCAGCTGACAGAGCTGTTTTGTTTTCCCTCTGCTGACGAGATTTAAAAAAATCACAGCAGCCCAGATACAAATCAATGGCCTTGCAGCAATCCATCTGCAGACTCTGAAGTTAATATTTCCAATATTATACATGCAAGTCATATTTCCTCTTATCAATTGGCATTAAGTGAAGGGAGTTTCTCCTGGCGTCCTGACTGACAATCCTCCAGATAAAATCGGTCATTCAACTGACTCATCGCTATTTTTCCGTGCACCGATAAATGATCATTCCTTGGTAATAGCACTTTTCGTGTCTGGAGGACGTCTCAAAACGCTTCACAGGAATTACAGTAAAGGGTAACTGCTGTGTCTTTTGTGGTCAAATGTGATCCACAAATTACTGCCTTTACTGTCATTAACTCTTCGGATGCTACTTAAAAGAGCCAGCACAGACCCTAATGGGCTGAATGACCTTCAGTGCTGCAACTTTCTAGGGTTCTAAGTGCATTGAACCTTTCAATGTTTTATCAGATGGAAGATTATTGCTATGGTTTATGATATCTAAACTCCATTATGTTGTTGGTGTGTAATCTATTCTTGCTTCTCTATTTGTAGCGACTAAAACTTCAGTTTAACAAAGGCGAGCATGGGTTTGATAACCAATATATGGACATGAAAATGATATTCCGTGCCTTTGGCCCCGATTTTAAGAAAAACTACCTTGCTGAACCATTCGACAGTGTGAATATTTATCCCCTGATGTGTAATCTTCTGAAAATCGCTCCTGAACCAAATAATGGATCGCTGGAGATAACTAGAGGAATGCTGAGCTTCGAAAGCAACAGGAGTGGTAAGCCATACAGAGAAACGAGACCAGCTTTACCTTGTTGATGGGAATCTGTTTGTGGGGTGTTTTTTTTTTGCAAAGGAACAAAAGTCACAGAGAGAACCTGGTGACAAACTCTCCACAGCCGGGGTGGACAGCCTTTATGGTCTGCCAATAACAAATGTTCTTGATTGAATATTTCTTTGATTTAGGCCATGTATCAGGAAATATTCAATCAAGAAAAAAATGAAAACACTAGAGATCGAACAGGGACTTATCCAGACTCATACGAATGTTCAGGGAGCTGACTCTTGACCGCCCTGTGAGCCATAGGTTGACCAACGGAGCACAGATATAATCTACAGGTCCCATGTGATCTTGGAGGGATTCACACTTTTGGAAAGGGAAAAGGTGGAGCCAGAACAATAGGTTCCACCAGTTTGTTGTGTTGTGTGAGGTTTACTTTATAAAGACAGACCAATATATCCTTATTCAGCTCCTTATCCAAATAAATATTTCTTCCTTTATTCCATGTCTTGTGAAGCACATCACCCAATAGAGTAATAATAATTCTTGCATTTGATATAGCGTCTTATCACGTCTCCGAGACGCCTCAAAGTGCTTCATAGAATATATTGTATATTTTGTGGGCAACATACCTTCATATTCAATGAAATTCAAACCTCTTGACACAGCTCATTTCCGTAAATAGTTTTTAAGAGGCATTTCAGTTGCACTCGATGCCTTATGAATATTCAAGTGTTCAAGATTTATTAGCCTCCCGTTGACTCTTTGGTTCTATATAATCCTCCACATAAACTCACCTACCCACAATCGTGGTCATGCATTTGACCTCATCATCACCCATGGCCTTGACATTTCCGACCTCAGCATAGTGGACAAGGCCATCTCTGACCACTTTTTCATCACCTTCTCCTCTCACATCCCTCTCTCCTCCACCAAGCCCTCAACCATCCTCTACCATCCTTGGAAAAGGCTACCCCTGAGACCCTCACAAAGGCTGTCTTATCTTCAAACATCCTATCCCTCTGGTCTTCCACCCACGGAGATCCTGAAGCAGCCATCCAGCTGCTCCATGATCGCCTCTCCTCCACTTTCAACTCCCTCGTCCCCCTAAAATCCAGGACTATCTCCAAACCCACCCGATCCCCCTGGTACAACAACCATCTCCGCCGCCAAAAAACCCAAACCTGTCTGCTCGAGCACAGATGGCAGAAAACTGGCCTGACAGTTCACCGCCAACTGTGGCTCGAGCATCTCCACAGCTGCCGCCGTTCTTTGACACGCGGAAAAACAGCCTTCTACTCCAACATCTTCTTGGAGGCTAAACACAACCCCAAAATCCTTTTTTCCACCCACTACCTCCTCCGTGCCCCCCTTCAGGCCTCCTCAATCTTCGTATCAAATGCCAAGTGCGAGGAGGTCATGGATTTCTTTTCAACTAAAATACTGAATATCCGCCAGGCAGCCTCATCCTTCTGCCCCTTGTCACCCACCACCACCCCCTCTCTGTCCCCCAAAGTCACAAACGACATCCTCTCTATCTGTGACCAGGGCTCCCTCTGCCTCCTTCTCCTCTCCGCCACGTTCGACACAGTCGATCACGCCAATCTCCTCCACTGCCTTTCCTCCGTCATCCACCTCAGTGGGACCGCACTCGCCTGGTTCGAGTCCTACCTCACAAAGCACCAGCAGTACATCTGCATAAACGGCTTCTCCTCCCGCTCTCACCGGGTCACCTGTGGGGTACCCCAAGGATCCATCCTTGGCCCCCTCCTCTTTCTGATCTACATGCTCCCTCTTGGGGATGTCATCCGCAGACATGGCGTACATTTCCACATGTATGCAGATGACACCCAACTCTACTTTTCCACCTCTCTTTGCGACCCCCAATCCCCCGATGTTCTGTCAGCTGCCTGTCAGATCTCAGGCGCTGGATGAGCACAAACTTCCTTCAGCTGAACGTTGACAAGACGGAAGCCATACTCTTCGGCTCTCGTCAACGTCTAAAATCTTACGGTTCTCACCTCCTTCACCTACCCGACCTCCCCCTAAAACTCTCCGAACCCGTACGCAACCTCGGCGTCAGGTTCGACCCCCAATTATCCTTCCTCCCCCACATCCGGTCCCTCACCAGCAACGCTTTCTTCCACCTCTGACGCATCGCCAGTCTCCGCCAATATCTCTTCCCAAAAAACGCTGGAACTCAGGTCCATGCCTTTGTCACCTCCCAGCTGGACTATTCAAACGCCCTCCTTGCCGGTCTCCCATTCACTACCATCCATAAAATCCAACTCATTCAGAACTCTGCCGCCCTCATCCTCACCCACACGAAACTCCGCTCCCCGATCACCCCAGGCCTTGCCAGACTGCACTGGCTCCCTATCCCAGAGAGGATCGATTTCAAGATCCTCACCCTCGTATTCAAGTCCCTGCATCTCTGACCTCCTCTCTCCTCAGCACAGTACCCGTTGCCTTCGTTCCTCCGGGTCTGGCCTCCTCCTTGACCACCGAGTCCTCCGCTCCACCCTCAGTGGCCGTGCCTTCAGCCACTATGCCCCGAGGCTCTGGAACTGCCTTCCTCACTCCCTTCCTCTCACTCCCTTCCCATTTTCAGGTCTCTGCTGAAGACCTTTCTTTTCGACCGCGCCTTTGGTCATCTTCCCCCCCTCCCCCTGGCTCGGTCCCGGGATCCGAAACTGTAAAGCGCTCTGAGACTCCGTCCAGCGTGGAGGGCGCTATATAAATCCAAGTTGTTGTTGTTGTTCTAGACTCAGCATTGTCTCAGGGGCTCGTAGGCCTAGCAGCAGTTGCTGTGTTCCTAATTCTGGTCGCTTTCATTGCTATAGGCTCTTCCTTATACACACAAAGAAAAGACAGACGGTGAGTACTTCGATCTCAACGTTTCCTAAAGTGTTAATACAAGAAAAAGCAAGAAGCAAAAATAACACTTTAAATCAGAAAGCCACAATCAATCTATCCAAGTCACTGCTGTATCAGAGGCCTATTTCTCCCATTTCATTAACATCTTTGCTCTCTCACTATTCATCTCTCCCATTCCCAACATTAAAATGTTACTGTTCCTCTTTTCCCAATTCAACATTATATCCTCTCTCTCCCCCAAATTAACTAACTCAATAGCAACCCAAGTTATGATGACAACATGTATGCAACGGGCCTTTGACATGCAAACTCTTAACAATGGAGAGTTCTCCCGCTTCTCAATAGCACTGTCGTTTTCTGGCATTCTGTGAGCATAAGGTCTGGCCAGCAAATAAAAATGCCTTTGAAACAACTTTTCACATACAAAATTCAGAAAGATTGGATTGAATAAAAATCCTTGCATTTGATATTGACCCTTTTATCGGTGAAATGTCTCCCAATTGCTTCACACAGTTTGCTGCAAACGCTAATGACACCGGATCGGGTGGTAAAAAGATTTTAACCCCACTGTCTGATGAGATATCATGTCCTGAATGGGAATAGTTAACAATTGTGGGGTAACTTCACAGTTTGCACTCTCTCTCTCCCCCAGCACCAAAAACTCAATCAGGGGAATATTTATAAGAGTCGTTTCTAATGAACTAAATCTCTTCTCTTTTCAGGACACACAATGAAGACCCAAGTGATGATAACAACATGTCTTCAACAGGCTTCTGACATGCAAACTCTTGTCAGTGGAGAGAGAAAATTAAGGAGAGAGATAATGGCCACTTCTGAATTGTTTGTTACAATAGAAATATTTAATGAAACACAGAAATTAAGTTTAATCGAACGGGGACAGTTGACGGGAAGGTAATTTTCCAATGAAGCTGATGAGAATAGAAAATGACCTAGTACATGAATCGAAATTGAATACTGATAATACTTCACCTTACAGTTCACTGATATCCAATCTTATAAGTGACAATCAAGATGTTATGAAATGTCAAATCTTACCAGACCAATAAAATTAATAGCTTTATTGATACTAACGATTGTCTAATATTTACCAGGTCTTTTGCACCAGATTCCAAGCGCAAACAACTTTTGTTTTCACGTAGGATAAGATCTCAACATGCTTCACAGAGTGAGATTGAGAGGGCAAGTAAGTTGGGAGATGGAAAAAAGGGTAGGAAGGAGGTGAGCAAAAAGCATGGTCGAGGAGATAGCGTGGCTAGGAGCACCAGCAATGGACTCAAATCAATAACCTGATCCAGAAAAATGCATACTATTATCGGAATGAAGCTAAAGAAAAAATGTTTCATAAAACATCGTGGAATACATGGGAAAAAAATATAAACTTATAGGGAAGTAACAGTAAAAAAACACAAACAAGGCTACAATGTACTTTGTGACCGCAGTGTATAATTTACAACTTCAACAAAATGTAGCTTCAACGTATTAAAGCAACTTCACTAATGGGATATGTTATGGTGTTTTAGCGCCTTGGGACATCCTCCCGACGTGAAGGGCGCTCTATAAATGTAATTTTGTTGTTGTTGTTGTTTGTTGTTGTGGTGGTGGAGGGAAAAGATCCTTCAGATCACAGCACAACAGTGAACAGTTTAATTTACAGGTCTCCACTTTTACAGGACTGAAAAAGTATGGTGCATTTCTTTATAGGGATTTTGGTTTTCTCTGTGGTGGGGGGAGGGGGGGAACTATTGGGAAGATTTTTAATTAAGGAAATTAAATTTACACTTGTGCTCACTTTTATAGTAATCCACCCCAAATAGTTTAATATGAATTACAAGTAGCATTAGTATTGTAACAATGATGTAATTAGCACACAGTTCGCTTATTAAACGCAGCCATAGCCTAAAGGGAATAAAGTTTGAGCTGATCTTCCATATCTCCGTCCGACATGTCCCCAAAGGTTTCCTTATTCTCTTTCATTAACTTGAAGATTGCAGCCAGTTGTTCTCTCTGTACCCTGAAACAGAGACCAGAACACAGAATACCAATGAATATACTGCATACAAGATAGACAATGGTTTACAGAGTACAAACTAACTAAAATCATGGCACCTTGTCAATTGAGAAGCCACCGGTTTTCGTAATGCAACAAGCCTCGGCTTCTCTCGAAACAGAGGAGTGCCTGAAGTTGTCCTGCTGTGAACCCACTGTGGTTTGTCACAACAGCAGACAACGCTAGTAATAACGATTCCAGGTTAATAAAAAAAAAGTGAGTTAGACAAAACACCTTCTGCAATTCCGTTATATGAATTCTGCTATCCGTGTCACTCTTTGGGGGGGGAAAAAAAAGGTGTCTTTTAAAAGTCATCCAGCTCTGTAATAACATCGATAAACATTGGTTGCTGCACATTTGTGCGTCAGCCTGGCACAGTGGTAGCACGGTCGCCTCCACGTCAGAAGGTTGTGGGTTCAAGCCTCACATCAGGACTCGGAATCACATAATCTACGATGACAGTTCAATGCAGTGTTAGGGTAGGGGGTGGTTGCATTATCGGAGGTGCCGTCCTTCGGATGAGACTTTATAAACTGAGGTCTCATCTGCATGTTCAGGTGGATTTTAAACATCCCGTGACACTATTCAAAGAGAAAGGAATTTCTTCCGGTGTCCTGCCCAACAATCACCCCAAATAAAATTTGGTCACTCACTTCCGAGCCATTCTTGGGATATTGCTGCGTGCAACTGGCTGCCACGTTTCACCCACAAAATAACACAGTCAATCCACTTCACAGTATATTGTGTGAAGCGTTTTGAGACGTCTCAACGACATAGGGCGCTATCAAATGCGAGGATTATTATTTGTGTAGTTCTAAATTGCCAAGGCACGAATGCCATTGAAATGAAAATACATTTGGTTCTGTTTGCAGCCTAGAGCATATAGTACTTGTTTGTCTCCCCCATTGCTTGAAACAAGAGGTGGGTTAGGTTCAGTGAGAGGATGCTGTCCTGGGTTTTCCCACATTCAATGTCTTGGCTACCCATTGAATCCCCAGTGGGATTAGATCTTTTAGCATTTACTGCTGTAACAATAGTGACAATGCCAATCACCAACTGGGGATTCTCAAAGATCACTGGCCAACTAATTCCTTTAATTAATAAGCTCAACACCATATTTTGATAAGAGCAGATTTACAATAGCACCTTTGGTTATTAGTACATTTCAAAATTGTCTAAGTAATAAGGCTTCTCAGAGAGATGCAACACTCAACTTTAATTGAATACTGAAAAATGCAATCAGCAAGATCAAAATCAAGTTTTATTCACTGTAACCCAACACTGTGCAAAATATTTATATATACATAAAGACCATCAATATCAGTACACCATTGTGTAAAGATTCCTGTGTAGTCCTGGATAAGAATTCAGGTGTTACAGCATGGCTTGGAGGGGACAGCAAATTCAGAAACAGATTTATGTGCAGAAGCAGCTAATATATAGCAAAACTGGTTCTCCAAGGCCATCGCATCCTTACAGATGATTAGAATTTATCTCAACACAAAGTGATCAATCATTTTTTCATTACATCTAGCAATAGTCACAATGCTAAACCCCCCCCCCAAAATAGTGAATCCCACTTTCAGCTGAGCTTTTTGAATAGGAAGCCAATCACTGGTACAATAATCAGCTGCATTACCTTTAAGATATTACTGGACAATCAAACACCACATCACTCGGTTAACTTCTTGAGGCTTTATTAAACATGGTCAAAGATAATGACATGTGTAATATGTTTAAAGCAAATGTCGCCGTTTTGGAATTACAAATCCACGGTTACAAACAACAACGGCCCCGAAAACAGCAAACACATTGAGAAAACCCCTACACCCTGCCATACAAAGTCTTCGTTGCGGTTTATCAACCAGGTCAAACAGTTATGGATTTCTGTGCGAAACAATATGGTTGCCTTGCGTTAAGTTACACAAAGATATAAGGCTTGCTGTGCATAAAGGTATATCCATTTTAACATTGTCTGTATTTGATAATCTGCATTATATAGTCTGTAACTGAAAGCAGAGTGAATTATAAATGACTACAAATTAAATGCATACTAATATTCTACCACAGAATCTATTCGCTTCACCCCCTAATGGGGATAAGCTAAGTGTATGGGTACTTTGGCTCGACATCCAGAACGTTCAAGCCCCGGCCAGCTAGACAATCTTCACTTGTGCAAGTACTGACTCCATTCAGTCCTACTCTTCTGCTCTGGAAAAAGAAAATACTTTAGTTACAAAGAAAAAAAAAAAAAAAGCATTTGCCAGAAAAAAAAGTGGTTATTAATGAAATCTGCGATCTTGAAGTTTATTAAATAACGTTAAAAAAAATCCTGGTACTCAACTACTAGTATTCCAGAAGAGTTTAACATAAATTCAGCCTCGGTCACCACATTGATGATCGAGCACAAAAGCTTACCGTTGGCGTGGGTAGCCTCTTAACACACGATCATGGACTTCAAAGCCAATATGCCTCCATATGAAATGAACATCCAAGAGCATAATAGATTAAGACCATTCTTACTCTCCCCTACGGACCTGTGCTTGTGTAGTGTTCCAAATTGCCATCAATTCTCCAGTAGCTAACTCAGAATGATTAACTTGCGAGCGTGTGTATTATTAACCTATGGGAGAAATCACAGCTGAACTCAAAACCCAGTCACCCCTCTTCAATACCTAACCTCCCTCCCCCAATATCTGTACAAACCTGCAATAGAGCAGAGTCATTGGACTTCAATTTGGAAATCTGCCCCTTTCCTTTTTCCACTTTGCAGAAGAGCAGTGCCATCAAATCCACTTTAACACTTCCATTGCTCTTAGCTGATTGACAAGCTCCGCACAGGACAGGGGTAAATCAAACATCCAGCTCTGCTCGATTCAGTATCACAATAGGCAAAGCAGCTCAAAGTGGGGCAATATACAAACCTAAAAATGCCCCATTAGGTTTACTCTTCCAGGAATCTAAAAAAGGAGCTCCAGGTTCAAGATGTTTTAAGTGTTGAAAGCAGGAGTCCAAGAACACGATTTGTTAAAAAAAAAAAGTATTTTTTGGTAAGTAATTTTTAAAAAGGCACCTTTTACAAAGTCACTGATACCCATTGGAACAGAAGATTGAGCATTTCATTTCTCTACATCGAGAACACACTGTAGATCAGATCTTTCTCCAATCAAGGATCAGGTTTCACATACACCCCACCACTAGCTTTATAAACCTGCTTAACAGGGAGAAGGCAAATAGAATCCACAACCCTTTAAAGTGAAGGATGTCAGTGATGTGCAGTTTGGACTTTCAGAATCATGATTGACTCGCACATGCAGACATCCATATTAACCATAGAGTAAAAGCTCCATCAATCATCTGTGTTTCATTCCAACACGGAGTACCCTCACACCAGCCATCCTAATGGAAACTCAGAGTTGAACACACCCCTGGACTGACTAACCACAGATCCTAATGGTGAAAAGGGATAGTTTGTGCCTTGCATATTCCTGGAGAGAAATTCCACCTGGGTCCAGATTTGTAGCATTTCAGAACATCCAGAATTTGTCAAATGCTTAAATATGGCCTTAGTTTTCAAGCTGGTCATCTGGAAGTTTATTTCCCAAGAGAAAATTCTTTTAAATGTTCCGACTTTTCCTTCCTGGAAATTTCTGTGAGCCCTTTCTTCCCCACCTTGTATAATTCTTAGCTGAAGGAATGTTTGTAAAATACATTTTAATCAGGCCTGTTCACTACAAAACAATCAGTACTTACCATCTCCAAGGATCTAACACAAACTCAACCATTTCAAACCTCCCCCTAGTAAAGCTTGGAATGTTATTGCATTCAAGGAAAAGATTGACTTCCAATTTACCCATAAACATTACAATGAAGGATATATACAACCCATCTTTCAAGCTGAGGAAAGGCAAATACGCTTTAATTAAAGATCATTCAAAGTGGTTAAAAAAATGATTAAGAAACCAGAAGCCTTACACCTGAAGACTTAAACCAGAAGCTGGCAGCCCAACGTGTCTCATGGATCCTCGCCCACACTTTCAAGGCCTTCTATGGCCTTGGCCCCTCCTACCTCTCTGACCTGCTGACTCCCTGCCAACCTGCCCGCTCCCTCCATTCAGTGGGCTCTGGCCTGCTTCATGTCTCCCACCCGACCCACCCTACCATCGGTGGCCGAGCTTTCAGCCTCTCTGCCCCCACACTCTAGAACTCCATCCCACAGTCCCTTTCCCTCGCTTCCTCCCTTGGCTCCTTCAAGGCCAGTCTCAAGACCCTCCTCTTCGATCGTGCCTTCGGTCGCCCTCCCACCTCTCTGCCTTCACTCACCCCTACCCCATCCCTCCCCCATGCTCGGGTCCTGACCCCCCGATTGTCCAGCGCCTTGGGACATCCTCCCGACGTGAAAGGCGCTCTATAAATGTAATTTTGTTGTTGTAACTACCGCTTATGGACCAAATGCTCACAGGTTCGAATCCTGGCCAGCATTTGAGTTTACTAGTCTAAGCTGGAGGCTAATTTGGCCCCGACTTTCCTCGGTTACAGAAAGCAAAGTGAACCAGGGATCCTGCTGCTGATCAGTCTTCACCATCGTTTATTAGTTTTCCAAGTGTGTGGTAGCCGGGTGGGAAGAGGTCAGGCTCGTACGCTGAAGACCTTACAAAATTCTGTCTAAATTTAGAAGCAATTTTTCTACATTTTAAAAAAACTGTTTTTTTAATATATAAAACTGGGGAAACCCAGGTTCCAAATTAATGGTCTTAAGGACAAGACCAGAGGAATTTTGTCAGATAATAATCCTTCCATTTGGTATATAAAAGGGGAAAATGGTATACATTGCTGAAACTACAGGTGAATATCTAGCTTCACATGTTAATTCCAACATCCAGGTTTGTGCCAAAAAAGGAAGAACAGCAACTGGCAAATAGAAAACTCGAACCAGACACCATAAAAGAAAATGTGAACTTACCAGAGGAGTTTCGTATCCCAGGGAGGATGCGCTATCATGCTGGGAAAAGGTGAGGGCAAGCAAAGCAATGTGGACGGACACATGCAGGAAGATTTTGGCAGTGCACAGTGAGGACGAGACCCAAGTCAAATAAATCTTACGATATCGGGTGATCAAGGGGTACAGGTGTGGAATATTCGGAAGGGTGAACTGCCTTCAGCTTCTGGTTTGAACATTGCGCATGAAATGATCATGGAGTTATTAGTTCAGAAGAGAATTGGAACCTGGGGATCAGCATTAAAGATCAGTCCTAATCAATACTTGCTGTTACACTCCAATCCCTCTTCCCTGCAGTGTTCCCACATTTATATGTGCACATCCTCATTTTAAAACGAGGCAATAAAACAACAAAGCTATGAATCTGTACAGGTGCTTGCACAAAAAACTGCCCGAGCAGAGAGGCCAGCAGTTGCCTGGTTTGCCACGTTGACTCGGATGAAACATTTTTAAATGTTTAAATGTTTTTCTATTCTCAGACACGTAGAGAAGTAAAGTCATTCCAGCTCGCACATGGTCCCTTGGAAATCAAAATGGGAAATAAAAATGTTTAATAATAAAAAATTTGAAATCTATTCCGTTCACTGGCTTTTTAAACTTCAAGCTAATTCCTCACAAAAACTGAAGCTTTCACCATCACACTGGGCAGCAACCACTTTCGTGAGGGAAGTCCAGTTGAGTCGATGAAGCTTGCAAACACTTACTTCCGTTCCATCATGTGTCGTCTTCAGTTCCCATCTTTTGCTTTCTTCCTCTTGTCCCCCTTCTCCGCCACCCCCCCACCCACTCCCACTGCCTTGTTCAGCGGTCAGGCAACTGTTTCCTAAGCCTCAAGTCAATCTCACGGCTCACTTGAGCCCAAAACAGGTACATACAAAGGGAGATCCAGGCAATCAGCTCAGGTCTTCATTGTTCCTTCGCCCTGATCTACCGTGGGAAAAGATCTGGCCACAACCTTTTGACAGCAAAGCCTAGAGAGAAATCACTGCAGAACATAACTGGGGCTAAGAACGTATGTCTCATTCTGCGTACGATTCACTATGCTGCTCATTCCAAATTAGCACCTTTCACTTAGGCTGAAATCCCAAAGACAAGCGCGAGAGGAAACATTAAAAAAAAATTACATGGTCAAATATTTCTGGACAAGGCAGTTAAACATAATCAAGCCTTTGAGAGTGTCTGCCTTCACACCCCAATTTTGTATCCGTGACCTTATTGGCACCTTTGCCCACTGCTCCACAGCCCACAAGCCAGTCAAATCGCATCCACATTGAACTCTCTGACCCCCCCCCCCCTCAAAGGCCAGCGGCCTGCAGAACAGCAAGTTTGCACAGAAATATGCTCTCAAGTACAAGAGCAATTTGACTTGGTGAAAAATAATTCCCCTCACCCCCTGGGTTAATGAGTCTACGACCCACACAGCAGCTTAATATCACAGCAAACGATATTGCAATAAAATGCAGTCGTGTATCCTCCCAATAAAATCATAATCATTTCTCGGCCTTGATTTTGATATGGCCGGCTTGGCAGAGCTTTTGCAATGCAAGTCCGATAGCTGCAAGTGCTTTTACAGTTCAATGAACCCATTGGAGTTTAACAGATACTATCCAGCGATCGCAGACTAATCCCTTCTCGTGTGCGTGTGTATCTGTCTGCAAGTTGCTTAGACAAGGCTGGCGTTGAAATAAGCAGAGAGAGAGAGAGAGAAAAAAAATAACCTGCAGTCTCGCAGGTTACAAAGCTGGAGACAAAACGTCCATTTGGATCAGGTTTACCAGGCTGATCGCTCTCTGAGGCACTCAGTTTAACAGAAAAAAAGGCTAAACAGATTAACCCAAACACAAGCAGATCCTGGGCCCGGGAAGTTAGCGCTTGCGGTGCCCAAGGTTGAAAAACAACAGCTGGCTCTTAGAGCTTTATAGCTGTTTACTACAGATTTGAGATTCCAGAAAGTGAGATTCAAACATATCTCGGTAATCAGGTGGGGCTGAATGTTCTACTCCCCTTATTAACCTTTCCCATACTGAGGGAAGAAATATTGACTGGATGTCATTAGGTTGTTGATACTCCAGCCAAGGCCAAGCCCATCATGCAGTAACAATATTTAAAGCTCCACTGATTGTGAACCAGAATTCAACGAGAGATTTGCTCCCCCCACTCCCTGTGCACCAAAAAAAAAATAGGAGATCTCATCTCCAAAATAGATTTAAGC